GCGTTACTCCGTTCCATCCCTCTTATTGCCTCGAGCATTGCGTCGACTACTTCTCCTGTGCGCGTCTTATGAATCCAATTCTTTAAGATCGCCTTCGCCTCCTCCTCTGACTTGGCTTGTACTACGCCACGCAGAGTCCATTCAGCCTCGAATGGTTTGAGCCACCACTCGCTGTAGGTCTCGCCACTAATGTAAGTGCGCGAGAGTTGCGGGGCCTCCTTAGCCTTCGCGTCGACCCGTGAGGGCTCAACTACCGTTGGCGAGGTCACCGCAGTTTCTAAAGGGGATAAGTTAGCCTTCTTGTTCATCATGAAACTGGTAATGTCCTCGTCGTCAGGTATTTCTTCAATGAAAGCTACCTGATGCCCCCTTTGCACTGCCTGGGCACTAGCAGCTTCCTGGTCCGCGGCTTTCTGGTCGTCCATGCTCGTCGCCAAAGCCTCTTGTTGTATAAGAGATTTAAACTTTGGTAGGTGTACGGTAATCTCTTTTACCAGAGGAGGTTTTGCCGTAGCTATTCCCTCGAAACTCCCAGCGAGGCTGGGACTCCATAGAGCCGCTTGGTCAGGGGGGGCGAGACACTCCAAAGGAGCCGCTTGTTCCCCTGGGTCCTCCGGTCGCACTCGCACCACTGCGCACGCTCTAATAGAGTTGCTAGGTAACGGTGACGCCGTTGAGAGGATTGTCACTATGGTAGGTGACTCATCGTCCGATGCTTTCGCCCGCAATGGGTTACTTGCCGAACGTTTAGTCGTCGGTAGTCTAACTACCACGACATCCGGGTCAGAGAGTTGATTCTTGCTTAGTTTCTGGTCTGATTGCAAAGTCGCGGGTATATTCGAATGCGCGGGGGTAACTACAACAGGTATATAAGTACATTGATAAGTCGCGATATGCGTACCAGCCAAAACTAAGTCCTTTGCCGAGTAAGTCGAATCATTTACTTCTCGGCGCTCTCTTTTACTTCTTCAATTGAGGCGAGCGGCGTTTCCTGGGAATCCCAATATGCATTGGCGTGTCGCAAGCTTTCCTCCCGTGATTTGGGCGCATTGGGGCAGTCGTGCTTGAAGTGGCCCTTTTTGCCACAACGGAAGCATATCGACGCTGCCCTGGCTGCGTCAACATCCATTGGCGCGCCGCGCCCACCGTAAGTCGTTCCCGACGCTGTCTTCGTTGACGGCGTAGGAACTGCTGTTTGACCACCCTTAGCAGGTGTGGTCGTCTTCTGTGGCGGTGCTTTCGTTGGTGTCGCCGTAGATCCTTCTGCCTGTCTTAGGCGCCAGTTGTAGTCGATGCGGAGGAGGCGAGTCTTCCAGCCTTCGTATGTGGTGGGTACTTCCGTGTCAGCCGAGTATATAGTATTTTTACTCGACTGGCAGGTGGCCTTCTTGATTTGATGGAGCATGACTTGCTCGTTGTCGCGTACTCCGGCATGGTAGGCTAGTTCTTCGAACTCTTGGAAGAACTTGTCACCGTCCTTGTTCTCCGACTGCCTAAGCTTTTCCCACTTGGCGTACTTCAACTGTGCGTCAGCATCCTTCCAGAACCTTGCGCGTAACTCTTTCTTGAAGTCATCGTAAGATGGGTAAAGCTGCGCTCCTGTCGCTTGATCCCTTCCTATTACTTGTGCGCCTAGCTCCCACCATGTCTCGGCGTCTCCTGCAAGTCGAGAGATGCAAAAGAGGACTTTATGAGGGGAGTGGTGGAAGTGTCGGTTGAATGCTTCGAAGTGCAATTCGCACTTTAGGAAGAATCGGGTGATGTCGGTAGAATCACCTGTGAAGTCTTCGACCTCTTTGAGGAGTTTTGGTTTAAACTCGTCATAGGGGGCGACGGCTCCGTCGACTAGTTGCCAGGGTACTGGCGGATCTGGGAGAGGTGGTGGAGCGGGAAAGAGCGGGAGTGCGTACATTACTGGTGGTACTGGTGCAGCGGGGGGTTGCGGTGGTTGTGCGCCGCCGCCTCCTCCACCACCGGCAGCTCCATGGCCGCCACCAGCAAATGGCTGTCTGAATGGTAGGTAGCCAGTGCGGTAGGCCTCCGACGCTACCGATCCCCTAGTGTAGGAGAAAGTCGATCCCGTGTACGATGGTGCTATTGGTTCGGGTGGCGCTGGTTCCTGGATCTCGATCTCAGCGGCTTCTTCTTCGTAATCAGGGAGCTCTTCCATGGGAGCGTCCCGATGTATGTCGTTCCATAAGAGGCGAGCGACTCGCTCTGCCTCGTATTGGAGTATGTCGTCAGCTGGGAGTTCTCTGTTTTTCTTCATAAAATAGTCGTTCCCGGCTTGGGATCGTCCCCAAGTCTGGTCAAAAGGGAGTTCATAAGCAAAATACGTAAAGATCTCTTCATAATTAGCTTGTCTTAACGCGGCTGGTATACTTATATTCGGGTCCTCCAGCGTCTCCTCATAAAACCTAATCGCGTCGGCCAGTCTCATCGGAGGGGGGCTGGGGCATACGCTCGCCTGACGACTCGGTGGACGACTGACGCCTTCCATCGACTGTGATGATCGGGTACGGGGTGGAGGGTCGGGGCGGACGCTGCGACTCGACGACGGTCTCTGAGGCGCTCGACTCGAGTTGCTGCTGCTGGAAGTCTTGGAAGCGTCGGGCGAGTCGTTGCCAGTGCGTGTCCCGGCTCCGCTGACCTCGGCGTGCTGGGGGATAGAGATGGGAGGAGGGACCGGCGACGGGTTCTTCGGGAGCTGGGGGCGAGTACGGCCGATTCTGGACGTGCTGGTCCCAGTGCCTGTACTGAGTCCCGTATCCGGACGGGGGAGGGGATCGGTGGTCTGGCGAGTCTGGGCGAGGATCGGGGAAGAAGGCGCTGTAGGGGATATCAACATTGTCCCAAAACTCCTCTGAAGGGATACCAGCCGCGGGTGGTGGAGTGGGGTGCCTATCTGCCCAAGTATCGTAATTGGTGACGGGGGCGACGGGTCTGATGTCGCGGCCCACGTCGAATCCCCCGACTCGTGCGGCGAATCGGGCATATGTGCCGGGAGAGGGGGTTCGATGGACATAGGGGATATATTCGGGTGAGGGAGGGATGGCGGGGTGGATGAACGTAGCTCCTCTGGCAGGGGGAGCAGCTGCTCTTTCCGAGTCGATGGGATGAATCGACTCAGGAATGACTTCCTCTTCTTCTGCGATCCCTCCCCGAGCGAGCTCGTCGAGTGGGATCGGTCGGAATGGTATGGGTGCGAAGATTCGGGGTGAGCGCTGCTCGAGCGGAATGGCATCGACATTGTTGGAGAGAGTGGGGGTGGTAGAGACTGTGGAAGTGACGGGGGTCGTGGGGATGACGGGGAATGTGTTCGCAACTCTTCACGGCGGCCTACAGAGAGTCCTGAGCGCGATGATGAGAACGATGGAGACGAGGGTAGCACTGGGGATTCCAAGAGCAATGGCTAGATCTTGGGCGGTACCGGTAGACATGGAAGATCTTGTTTAGGGATCTAAAGAAAAGCTTTGAGCTAATTGTTAGACCCGACGTCTGAACAAGGGTAAATACACAGTTGTATCGCGTTCGTACAATCACTGTTAAGTCCCATAGAGTTCAAGTGTCAAGACTAAGGCTTTAGCGCTTAGCGAGAAGTGGAATGTTTCGGTATGATTAAACGTTAGCTCAAAGCTAGGGAATATACAGCTTTGAGTAGACTACTTATATACTAGAATGACGGTTCAATAATAGGTACACCGTGTTAGAAAGTGAATAAGCGAAATACACGGTGAGCGAGATAAAACACACGCAGAGTGAGTCTGGAGTAAGTATGACGATGCGATGACGGTGTAATGATGTGAAGATTTACGAAGGCTCTGTGGAGTCGCGGATCTAAAGATGAGATAAGATAAGCGCCGAAGATAAGATAAGATAAGAGGCGCTTAGATAAGGAAAATGAATAAATCGTAACAACATCACAGTGAGCGCTATCATGATGTAGTTCTGAAAAAATGCACTAATCTTAGGATTCGTGGAGGTCGTGCCGCCCTCGATTCAGGACAAATCCAAGCCTACCATTCGATTAGTCCAAACCATGATGTTCATCTAACATTGCGCCTCATTCCCATTCCCATCCTCCTGGCCATCCTTATCTCCATTTGAGCCATGATGCATGCTCCTCCTAGCATCTCCATGGCGAATGCATCACACAAAGCGACAGCCCAAGAACTGGCCATTGAGTCTCCACCCTTTCCCTTTCTATGAGGAGGACGAAGTTCGCGTCGATACCACCTTCGGTGCCACCAACATATACACACTCCATTCTCAACACAGCCCGTGGATTTGGTATATCATGCATCATGGCTAGTACGACCTCTATCCGTGCGGGAGCCCATAGACCTACCGCACCCTGGCAGGTTCAGCATGTGCTCCGCAATAAGTCAAGCAGACACTACTATCATTCAAACGCCATACTTCACGTTCTCTCGCCAATGCTTCGATTTCCTCTGTGGCAAGGTTTACACCATGTGCCGATCAACCATCTTGACGTTCCCGGTGCGATGTCATGGTGTATTTCCCACAAAGTCCTTTTAGCTATGGCCTACCGGTCCGGGGATGGCTGCTCAAGTCAGAGAGGCATGGATTCAGAGAGTATGTTCGAACTCGGTGACTCGGCGGATCGGTTCTCACCCAGATGCGATGTTGTCGTTCGTCTTCTCTTTGTTAACTGCTACATGAGCACCCTGTAAAGTTATCTTAGCTTGTTCCTTTCCAAGATTTGTAGTATGACTGTAGCACGTACCACCTTTGGCATACGATTTCGGTTTCATAATATCAGTATTGAGTACCACTTGACTCTGGGATCATGCTATGGGAATTCTCCTCGCATGGATAACGAGCAGTGTTAATTCTTCATTGGACAACAGTTGTATAACTAGGTAGCAGGTACTAGGTAGTGTGCATTCTAGTATTTACGACAGTATCTACTATCTACTATCCAGATTCCATATTCGAGATGAGAAAAAAAAGGCTAATGAAATAATAAATAAAACATACTCTCTGGCTGGGAGTCGAACCCAGCTTTCGCGCGAAATCAATGTGTTCTCATCATATGACAGGCGCGTGTACTAACCGATATACTACCAGAGAATAATTTCATATCTGATTCTTAGATAATTATATTGATATGATTGCCCACAGTGACGAAAAAGTCCTCTATGCCCGAGTTCTCACTCTCGACAACAATATCAAAACAACATCGCACATTCCACTGGCAATAATATTGTAGGGCCACAAAAGCAACGCGTATGCATTTCGAATTTGAGCCCTTTACGGTCAGAAAGTTCTGATAGTACTTAACCTTTCAGCAGCAAAACGAACGATGAAAGCCTGCTTGGATATGTAGAAAGGGGTCTTGTGTGGTGCGAGATGCGTGAGATTCTGACAACTGTAACACGATTAGAGCTCATCCGTCCCACCAGACCGTATTCCAGAGGCGATTTCCCGTCGTCTTTTCAGCCGCGTCGATCGCGGTCTTTCGCTCTGGTGCATTTTTGTGACCACTGACCAAGGATAGACAGTGTGGACACGGCTGTGAACAGTACTGGCAGCTGGCAGTACTCGTGCGAGTTGGTGAACGAGCACCTATCAAACGATGTAGAATGGTACAATGGAAGCCTTGCCGCGATTACCGTGGAGCCGTCGAGGACGTGCGCACGGATCACTTCCTTCGTGTCCGATTCCTGCCTCTAATCAAGCGCAGCATTCAGACTGCGCGCATTGGCTTCTCTATGCCAACTCAGATGTCTTCGCTGGCCATGTACGGGCAGGGAGCCGCTGGAGATGTGTTACCTATATTCTAAAGCCGAAGTTCAGTCTGCACAATCTTCCGAAGTCACTTTACTTTCAACATCTTGGTTTGTATTTTGGGGATCTGCCACTACAGCCATACCAGGACCTTTCTGGATTGGCTACGCCCCGCCGCGCGGTCTTCCAGGGAACCTACTCTGGGCATTGTCCTTTTCATTGCAAAAGCCGCATTGTAATGTGTAGTTGGAATGCCTCTCGCTGGGAACTGTGGCGTATCGTGCATATAATACAGCCCTGGCCTTCGCTCAAATGGCGTTATGGTAATGCTAATTCTCGCAACACTGCCTTTTATCGATTCCTTGGAGTTGGTACGCCGACCCATCCTCTCCCCTTTATCATTTAACATTAATAACAGGCACAGAGTACCGGACCAATAGCGATGGGTTTCTTGGCTGAGTCACAGGTCCATGCATGCATGCATGGTGTGCTATGTTATATTTGCAATCACTTATATGTGTAATACACGATGCTCTCCCTAGCTCCCCTTCCAAAGTTCCGACAACAAGGAGTTGCAATCTAAGTTCTTTCTTGTCCAGGCGCACAAGGACTTTCGTACTACAAAAGGCTGAGATCTTAACATAATTCAGAACCCGAGGACTGTACATCAGGAGAAACGTCCAACTTTCTACGGATCGTCGAACATGAATAGACTCGAGCCGGCCTAGACTAGTAGCATGCAGGGTAATGTTACTATGAACGCAAAGAAGGCTGCTGCCCATGCAGTATACGCGGCACCTACGGCATATTCAAGCCCCAGCGTCTCTATACCATAGTAGTGCCCGACGAGAGGCACTCCAGCCGCGCAATCTACTCCGACCCACAAGATACTCAACACGAATCTGAGGATCCTGAACGCTCTATCCGAAGCACGCTAAAAATAGGCTTGCAATGAAATGCTCAGCACACCAAGCGGAAGAAACGCAGCCATGGATCCCTGAAATCCAACCAGGAAGGTCGACCAAACGTCGACTTGGGAATAAGGGCTTTGGGGGGAGCTGAGATGGAGCAATAGCCTGGCCAACGACAAGCCAACCGCCGCTGACGCCGCTGATGATTGCGACTATTATTGCGACACAGATGAGCGCAAACGGTATGGCAAGCAAGAGTCCGATAGTGTTGGCAAGGATGTCGATGCTGTGGACTTCTCTAATAAGAGAATGATTTACGAGCCGATAATCAGGTTCGATGTTATGAGCGTGACTTGCAAATCGTTTATAACTCGCCTGCTAGGGCAGCTTCTATGGCTCCGTAGCTACGGTAGGTGCCATCGTTGAGGATAGGACCCTGGGTCTTGGAACGACCAAAGTGGTAAAACGCAGACATTATGGCTGATTGTCGTAGAGATGTTGAAATTTCAGACGTGGACGTCGGTCGGGCGGAGGAACGACGTCCGTTCCCACGTCTCAACGTTTTATGTATGAGAGTGGTAGATGCCAGAGATCCTGGTGTTTGTCGTTTGCCTTCCAGCCAAGAAGTTATCGTGGGACCAACGCCGTTAACACACCAGATCCTCGAGGTATTCACTAAAATTATCTCGTCTGCTATTGAATGTTGGTAAATCCGACTACAGTTTAATGGATCCTCGAGAAGGACGAGCGATGTGAATGAGGACCCCCAAACTTTGGCAGAAACTCATATGTCAGCTCTTCTCTGTATTTTTTCAATCTAAAGGTCCCACCGATGATTTTCTGAGTATAAAGACACGGCTGTGTATGTATCTGGTGCCAGTGTTCATCTGCAGTGTCGCGACCAGCCCTCATCACAAAACAGTCACTCTGGCTTGGATAAAGGTTGCTTTTTCAACGGCGTGTACATCACTTGTAAAAAATCGAAAAACGGTAACATCTTACCTCCAAGTGTTTATCAATTCTGCCAGTTCGAATCTCCACAGAGTGGTCGAAGTCCAGAAGCGCGTGGGAATAAATTTGACTCTATTAGGAAGGCCATCATCGAATTACAAGGGACTGGTTCGAGTCTGCCTCTCAATCCCTTCTCGGGTAGCTTTCGTTCTCATCCAACTGTATTTCCGACAGCGAATTGCAGACCGTCGCCTTCCTTTGGCGTATTTTCGTCAATAGTAGCACAGTGGTAGACAGTCAGGACTGCTGCTAAAATGACGGGCAACACTGGGATCCTGGGCGAGGGCTGGTGAGATAACGCAAGGTCTCGCAATGGAGGAGTCGCCGTCATGGTCGTGGAACCGTCGAGCTCAGTGTCAAGGACTACCTTTTCATTTCGCCCGGTGCTCTGCTAGGGCAGCCTGGACAGTGGATATGCAGAGAAGAATCTTGTGAAGGCGGTGCCAGGTGTGTGATATTCCGGCGACTGTTACGAGATTAGCGCTCATCCACACTGCAAGACTATAGACTCATTTCATTATATACTAAAGGCGATTTCAATTTTCCCGTCGTTGCTCAATTTCTTCCCATGGCGCACCTCCTCATCCAATCGCGTTCCCGAAAGCGGGTCACATTTTTACCTTTTTTCGTCACCACCGGTAGACAAGGATACGGCAGTCAGTGGTGAAGGGCATCATTGGCAGTGATTTACGACTGGGTGGATTGCCATGGTTTCCTTGGAACCGTCGAGTATGGTCATGCGCGCGAGCTTCAGTGGCAGCAACATTGGACGTTCAAATTTCAAAACCCATAGGAGGGTGGTTTCGAATTTGAGGCAATACGGACGCCAGGTCAGTCTTTTGTTGCTCTGTTCTTCGTGCTCTTTCTTATATCTTACAGCAGACATTACGTAGGCGGTTACAGCTTCGACTAGTAAAAGCAACAAAGGTGGTGGAAGGTGCGTCATTTTAGAGGACTCCAATAAAATCAGCCCTCATTCATACTGCCAGATCACGACGATTCTGTGCCAAAGGTGGTTTCCGGAACCTTCATTACTCAATATCTTCTCGCGGTGCTTTCGTTCCCAGTTTCTGATGGCGGGTCACAGAACATCCTCTGTCTCATCCTCATTGGGTGCATTTTCGCCACCGGCAGGACAGCGATAGATAGCCAGGGGTGCTGCTACAACGCTGATCGGCGCTGGAGTCATAGACGGAGGAGGCATGGCTGTGTGAATGCCTATCAGGCGATGTGGGATAGCTCAATGAAGGGATCGCCGTAATGACCGTGGAACCGTCGAGCTACGCTCACCGTGAACCACTACCCTTTCATTCTCTCGTCCGGTACCCTGTACCTGTCCCGCATATATCGCGCTCCGAGTTATCATAACATGATACACGGCTGGAAGACTGCATCTGGGTCATTGTTTGTGCCTTCGACCGGCTAGCGTCTGAAAAAGCGCGCACAGTTCCGAGGTGAGTTTCCTTATTATGCTATCTTTTACTAAAACCAGGGACTTAATGACCTTCCGTAGACGTTCCTGGTCCGTGTACGTTCATTAGAATCAAGGACGGCATACTGGTTAGATGTGGAGGGAGCAGGCCGTGCGCTGAGGACATTACAGTAGGCTCTATCGCCGTGTCGTCCTGAAATGTACTAACGTTAGGATTGAAAGATACCGCGTCGCTGTCAATTACAGAAGGATCAAAGACAAGCCTGAGCCCACCAGTTTATTAATCTCAACAACGATGTTCATTCATATCGCCGCTTCTTCTCATCGGACCATCCCAGCCATCTCATATCGAGTTTGAGACTGCGTGCGTCGGACTGATTCTCCTGGAATTATGTTGAATAGAAGGATGGGTCCATTCCCCCCGAGTTCTCGAGATATCGCTTCAGGAAAATATCGGTTTCCACAATCAAGGCCATGCAGGCCTCTTATCTCGCACACGGATTCTGATCGAAAGCGAGTGTACGGCATCTCTTGCGCGGTAATGCAGGGACTACACAATGCCGAAGTCACCCCCACCTACAACGATGCCTCGGGCGATATTCACCGGGGCTTCGAATTGAGGAGCCTCCCTTGTAATCTCGCCGGTTCGACGATGAAGAAGCCGGATCAAAGACTGGCAGCCGCTCGATGACGCCCGCACGGAGCACAGATGAAAGACTCTACGATGTTTCTTCTCCTTTCACCTCCGAAATCTGCAAATGTTTGGCATCAATCTCTCTGGATCCATGTTCGCTGTTGGAATTCGTCTCTTTTATACCCCCTATTTTCATACCGGAATGGCCCGCATTGAGGAACCCTCTCCGTGGAAGGTTTTGTTCGACGATGCACTGTCTTTTGTGACGAATACAACTACTTCCGTGCATTCGGGATATACAAAGTCTGTGGTGGAAAGTCAACCGTGCGTTCATGACGCTCTCCCTGAGGGTTCT